TAGCCATTGTTTTAAAGTCTATTTGCCTGATAAAAGTATTCCCACCTCAGCTTTTTTAAAATTTCCATTTGCATGAAATACCTTTTCTCATTCCTTTACTTTCAGTCTGTGTGTATCTTTTGATCTGAAGTGAGTCTCTTGTAGGCAGCTTATCTATGGCACTTGTTTTCATCTCCATTCAGTCTCCCTATGTCTTTTGATTGAAGCATTTAATACATTTACATTTAAAGTAATTATTGATAGGTATGCAGTTATTGCCATGTTATTATTCATATTTTTTATTTTTTTCTTAAAGAAGTCCCTTTCACATTTCTCGTAATACTGGTTTTGTAGTAACGAACTCCTTTAGCTCTTTTGTGTCTGGGATGAGTTATCTTATTTGTGTTTCACTTAGACTGTAATAGTTTATATTCGAAGGATATGGAAGCTTGAGCATGGAGATACTGAACATTTGATTGGATAGTCACCTATTAGGATGTTCGTCCAAGCTAGGTTTGAGTCTCTAAATTCACAGGATTGGACATGAAGTCTTGTAAAACTTTGGCATTTCTAATCATTACCAGTAATAGCTAGTAGTGAATTAGGAACTATACATTTCTAATTTAATTTCTTTAAATATGTATGTGACACATAAAAGGGTGCTGTTTTGTAGTGTTTGAAAGAGATCAAGTTTGATGAAAATGGAATCAAGTTTTGAAACAAGAAATGGAAGGAAGTTTGCATATGTTTGTTTTCTAAATGTGTTTGCAGGTGTGAGAAGGGCTCAGAGGGAGCCATTCTTCCTAAAGTCAGACTCAAAGCTCCAGTTACACAGGTCCTAGAGTGTATCTAATAAGCTCTGCGTACTCAGTGCTTGACAGTTTTAGGATACTTCCCAGTTCTGCTGTCAGTTTTGCCTTGCTGAAATTAAACTTCCTTTTTAGTATAGCATAGGACCCGAATAGCGTGCCAAAAACAGCACCCCTACCTGCCTTCTCCAATTAGGAGATTCAGAGTGGAATACAAAAGTGGCCTGAGAAAAATCAATTTCCTTGACTATGAAGTTCAAACTGGACCCAGTATCTTAGAAATGAATGTCTTACAATAAACACTCCCCAGGAGTGAATTCTGCTGTAACTGAACTGAATTTTACAATTTAAAGGGAAGGAAGGGGAAACAGAAGTGTATTATACAGAACATATCACCCTGGCTGTGCTCTTTAATGAGGTGAAGCAATATTATTATAAGCAAAACTGAGTAGCTTTTTTCCGCCCTCCATAAATTGTAAGAAATGTAATCCTGAAATTTATTAGCATTTGTCCTTTTAGCTACTTTTATACTTAAAATTCAGTAGTGCCACACTTGACCAGAATGCCATCACCAGGGGGCTCTTTCAGGTTTATATACTGAAATATAAAATTGGGAAATAATAACTATACTAAAACAGATAAACTATTTATATTAGTTACTAGTTTCCCATGGCTGCAATATCAAATTACTACAAACACAACAGCTTAAAACAACACAAATTTATTGTCTTGAGATGTGGGGGTTGGAAGTCTGAAATGGGTCTAAATGGGCTAGAATCAGGGTGCTGGCAGGGCTGTGTTCTTTCTGAAAGCTCTGGTGGAGAATGTTTCCGTGCTTTTTCCGACTTCTAGAGACCGCCCACTTTCTTGGCTCATGGCCCCTTCCCTCCGTCTTCAGAGCCAACAGCGGCCCGTCAAGTCTTTCTCACATTGCGTCACTGCCACGGACTCACCTGCCTCCCTCTTTCACTGATAAGCAACCTTCTGATTTCATTGGGCCCATCGTAATAATACCAGATCATTTCTCCAATCTCAAGGTCAGCTGATTAGCAGCCTTAATTCTCTCTGCAGCCTTAGTTTTCCCTAGTCATGTAACATACATGTTCACAGGTTCCCGGAATTAGTGCATGGCCATCTGTAGGGCGTGTTATTCTACCTACCACGTTGTCTGACCTAAGTTTGAACATGGTTATGTTGGGTGATACCTTGCCAGTGTCCTGAGCGGGCCAAGCGTAGGAGCAGGAAGGTGAGCAGGAAGCCAGGCCACGAGCCCATGCGAGGTGAGGGGGTGGCTCGGGCTAAGGCGGCCGTAGCAGCGGCGGGGGGGAGCAACGGGACCTGCGTATTCTGAAGGTAACTGGCTGGCCTGTTGGGTGTAGAATGTGAGAGAAAGAGAAGAGAGTCACGGGGATTGCCCAGAATTTTTGGCCTAAACACTAGGAAAAAATAAGCTGCCATTAATTAAGATGCAAAGAAGCACAGGTTTAGGGCTTCAGCGTTCAGTGTATGGGAAGCTGAGAATGCCTCCTTTGAAAAAAAGAAAAAAAGGAGGAGCACTGTCTTTTCAATAACAACTGTTTGAATATCTGGTATATCTGCCTTGTCAAGAAGGCGGATTTCCTGGATAAGAATTAGGAGGAAGATAAAGAAAAGATGACTTTTATTTTTTGCCTTTGCAGTGACTTCTGTTATTCCAGGGATTTATGAGCCACTGGACCAGAGAGGTGGTTGTAACATCCTAATATATCCCTAAAACTGCTTCCCAGGACCGTCTTTTGTCAGATCATCCTGAACTGCCTGTGTCAGCACTTACGTGCACAAAACTTGAGAAACGGGTGTTTCCAAATATACCGCACTAATGCATGGTGTTAATAATAGAGGGAATTGTGACAGGGAGGAATATGGAACTCTCTCAGCTGTCTTCTCAGTTCTGTAAATCTCAAACTGTGCTAACAAAGGGTTGATTAAAAAAAGAAAGAAATGGAGTTTTCTCTAATATTGAGTCCTTAGGAAATACCTTTTCTGTAGAAGTTAGCTCTGAGTGGCAGTTCCATGTTATTAACTGGGTTTTTATTTCTTGTTTCTGGTATTTGAAGATTCCTTTCAAAGACTTCCTGACAGTGGGATTATTTAGTTATTCCAGTGGTATTTGCAGCTAAAGAGGCCTGTGGAACTTGAAAAAACAATAGTTAACATATATTAGGAGAGGTTATTATATTCCAGGTGTTCTGTTAAGCACTTCCATGGCTTATCCTCTAATTCTTAAGACAAACCGATGAACTCTTTAGGGATTATAGTGGTGCCTCAGTTTTTGAACGTCTCCGTTGACGAACATTTCGGGCTACGAATGCCGTAAACCTGGGAGTAAATGCTTCGGTTTTCGAACCCGCCTCGGGAGTCGAACATGCCACGCGGCTTCTGCTGAGGGCAAGACCCTGAGGCCCAGCTGTCGGCTGTGGATCCCTCAGTTTTTGAACGTTTCAGACCTCCAAGCGGTCTTCCGGACGGATTGCATTAGAAAACCGAGGCACCGCTGTATTTTGGCTACATTTTGCAGGTGGAGTAATTGATGCTAAGGAAGGATACGTGTTCACAGATAGGAAATAATGGTGCTGGGGTTCCAGCCCAGGTAACCTGACTGTACAAACTGCTTCTCACCGCTGTGCCTTATTTTCTCCCCAAGCTGATCCGTGCCATCTATTTGTGCTTGAAATGATTGTGTATGATTGGAGTTAACTTGCCCCTGAAGGGCCCCTTAGCTGGCTTTCCTCTCCTCTGTGTGTACTTCTCAAGAAAGCTAAACATAGCAGAGTCCAGCTCTCCAAGAAGGAAAGGCGCTTCTGGCCAAAAGGGCCATCTGTGATCCTGCTGCTCGGTCGCACCAAGCTCCTGACACCTGGAGGTGGTCCAGAATCGAGCCCTGCCCAGCCTTCAGCACACCCACGTCATCAAGTAATTTCGTTCTTCACTTTGGGTTCCGTCGGACACCTGATCACAGTAGTCCCGCTACTCTTTTAAGACCCTCCCTCCTGAGAACTGTGCGGCTACTCAGCCCATCACCGATCTGCCTTCATCTGCAGCACCAGAAAACTGACTGCTCACCCTGAGATCACTTGATAACTGCTCAGTCAGCTGTGGTTTTATGTAGGAGCAGGCTTCCTGCGTGCGGCTTGACTGTGAGCTTCATGAGGACGTGCATTGTGCCTGTTTTGTTCACTGTGACTGATATTCCTAGTGCCAAGCGAAGTATTAGGTACCCAGTTCTTGTGGAATGACCAGATTATGCATTACCATGTGCACGCACCGTATGGGGAAACTCAGGTGGCTTTGCTCTAGTCATGCTCTTAGGCGGTTGTCTGTGCCACTAAGCACCGCGGAGGAACTGCCAAACAACTAAACAACCCTGCGCTCCCCCACTCACTTAGAAAGGCCATTCCGCACCCCTCCGTGGGAGAGGCTTGGGTTTCCTGCCACATCCCATAAAGCCCCGCCCCTGTCCTGACCAGTGGCGGGTACTTCGGGAGTTTGAAGCTTGTTGATTAACGGCAATCACACTTAATAGTGGAGAACGGATACTTCACATGTAGGAGATTTTAAGGACTAACCTAAAGTGAAAAATATTTTCTTTGAAAAAGTTAGTGAAGCCATCACGTTTCCATCTGCCATCACTTTCCGTTTCTCTGGGGTCTTGAGTCCGGTCAGTGGACTGAACTTGTGTATGATTTTGTACAGATTTTTATAGTAAGAGGCCTTGTCCAGGCCTCTTTTGTGCTGCATACAGGAAGAGTGGTATACAGGGTTTCAGGGGCATATTGCCTTTGATTCCCGCCCCCCCATGCACGCGCACGCACTTGATAAGACTGTAGCAACTTATCACTTTGATCCATGTAATAATTCTAGGATGCAATGTAACTGTCGTCATTCTCATTTAATGAGTTGATGTTTAAGCTCATAAAAATTACATAAAATGTGTACGATTACATTACTAATTCAAAGCTCTTTTTCTGAGACTAGATTATTACTGGCAGGTGAGAAAGTGACACAAAAACAACTTAAAAAATAATCTCTCTACGGTGAGACACCTCCCTTCATTTGTCAATGAAGCTGTTATTATAAACTGTTAGAAAATGCAGAATTCTTCATTCAGCACACACATGGGCATGTATATGGGTCCAGCGCTGAACAGTCCCTGGTTTCCTTTCATTTTTCCAGGCAAGAAAACTGATCAGCGATTTTGCCATCATCTTGTCCATTCTCATCTTTTGCGTAATAGATGCCCTGGTAGGCGTGGATACTCCAAAGCTAATCGTGCCAAGCGAGTTCAAGGTAGGTGAACTGTCCTTGGGTCATTCCTGGAACTCTGGCTTTCTCTCCTTTCCCCTACTCTAGTTTGTCATCTCTCTCCTTAGTTTTGTACAATTGTCCATTTATTTACATATTTCTAAAATATTCTCTTGCTAGGCACATGTATTTATTTTGTCTGTTTCTTTATTAAAATTAAGCACCCGAGTAGGGTCAAAATGCAAAGTTCACATTATATTGATTTTTATTGAAAAATACCGTGCAACATTACCAACTCTGCTTTATTCTTTTAGAGTATTTTAAAATATCCAAAGTATTTTCATACAGCTTATCACTTTGATCCATATAATAATTCTAGGACTCAATGTAACTATCGTCACCCTGATTTTATGAAGTTAATGTTTAAACTCAAAAAAGTTAAGTAAAATGCCCACAGTTACATTACTAATTCAATGCTCTTTTCCTGCTACCAAACTACCTGCCACATATGTACACATTTATGTATAATGTGCATTTTAATTATTACAAAGAAGTTACAGGAATTATCCTTTTTATGGCCATGTTGGTATGTGCAGGCCCAATGGCTAAAATTTACATTTCAGTCATTATTAAATATCCATACCCAAGTTTCTATGATAAGATTTGTACCTATTTCCTAGAACACTCCTAACCTCTCTCCATGGAGACCATATGCTTGCTAAGAAAAACTAAATTAACTGTGGTTTTAGCTTAATAACTACTCAGTGAGGAAGGGATATCTGTGTTACAGCAAACAGAATATCTTTGCATTGTCTCCGCCATCACTTACTCGTCAGCAGAGACAAGCTCCTGTGCACTTAATCCTTAGCTCCTGTAAGCCGGCAGTTGTGGGTGTGTGCCTCGAGTCAGGCCTACGCTGGAGGTGTGTAATGCATCCATGGCAAGACCCGTTTCTTCCCTTATGAGCTCACAACCTGTAAAGGTAGTAAAATGTGGGTCGATTCAGTGATGGAGTTATGAGCAAGTAGATGAAAAACAGAAATATCTTCAGAGGAGAAGTGAGACTTTTTTGATAGTAAATATGGAGGAAATAATGCACAGATAGGATTTTATTTTAGTTTATTTGCATTGTTTAAAGTTAGAAAAAAGGAAAGGGAATTTTTTCTTTTATAGCAGAGACGTATGATCTGCTGACAGAGGATAGATTGGAAGCGAGAAGAATAACTGTATTTTTTATTTTCATTTTCTGTGGTATTTCTGAAGATTTAATCAGTTATTCTGGGTTCTTTTTCATATATAAAACAAGAAACACCGGAGTGTTCAAATAAGTTCGAGTATAACACATAACAATATCTGTAGCTTTTTGTCCATTGCACTGGGAAGTGATTACAGTTTGGCGCCTGAGAAACAGTCTCAGTGTAACTGCTGAAGCCCACGGGCGAAGCTGAAGTTCGCGTGGTTCCGTGGTTCTTCCCTCTCTGCTGAGCGTCCCGCCGGGTGTTTCTCAGGCCCGGCCTTCGCCTTGCATTGCTCTCCTCCACCTGAGCCCTCGCCTTGGCTCGTTCCCCCGTCCTGTGGGTTCTGAGTC